TGCTTTAAAATTGAGTATACACCCGTTAAACCATAAATTGATGCTTTAAAATTGAGGATACACCAGTTAAACCATAAAATTGATGCTTTAAAATTGAGGATACACCCGTTAAATCATAAAATTGATGCTTTAAAATTGAGAATACACCCGTTAAACCAAAAAATTGATGCTTTAAAATTGAGGATACACCCGTTAAACCATAAAATTGATGCTTTAAAATTGAGGATACACCCGTTAAACCATAAAATTGATGCTTTAAAATTGAGGATACACCCGTTAAACCATAAAATTGATGCTTTAAAATTGAGGATACACCCGTTAAACCATAAAATTGATGCTTTAAAATTGAGGATACACCCGTTAAACCATAAAATTGAGGATACACCCGTTAAACCATAAAATTGATGCTTTAAAATTGAGGATACACCCGTTAAACCATAAAATTGATGCTTTAAAATTGAGGATACACCCATTAAACCATAAAATTGATGCTTTAAAATTGAGGATACACCCGTTAAACCATAAAATTGATGCTTTAAAATTGAGGATACACCCGTTAAACTATAAAATTGATGCTTTAAAATTGAGGATACACCCGTTAAACCATAAAATTGATGCTTTAAAATTGAGGATACACCCGTTAAACCATAAAATTGATGCTTTAAAATTGAGGATACACCCGTTAAACCATAAAATTGATGCTTTAAAATTGAGGATACACCAATTAAACCATAAAATTGATGCTTTAAAATTGAGGATACACCCGTTAAATCATAAAATTGATGCTTTAAAATTGAGAATACACCCGTTAAACCAAAAAATTGATGCTTTAAAATTGAGGATACACCCGTTAAACCATAAAATTGAAGCTTTAAAATTGAGGATACACCCGTTAAACCATAAAATTGATGCTTTAAAATTGAGGATACACCCGTTAAACCATAAAATTGATGCTTTAAAATTGAGGATACACACGTTACATCATAAAATTGATGCTTTAAAATTGAGTATACACCCGTTAAACCATAAAATTGAGGATACACCCGTTAAACCATAAAATTGATGCTTTAAAATTGAGGATACACCCGTTAAACCATAAAATTGATGCTTTAAAATTGAGAATACACCCGTTAAACCAAAAAATTGATGCTTTAAAATTGAGGATACACCCGTTAAACCATAAAATTGATGCTTTAAAATTGAGGATACACCCGTTAAATCATAAAATTGATGCTTTAAAATTGAGAATACACCCACTAAACCAAAAAATTGATGCTTTAAAATTGAGGATACACCCGTTAAACCATAAAATTGATGCTTTAAAATTGAGGATACACCCGTTAAACCATAAAATTGATGCTTTAAAATTGAGGATACACCCGTTAAACCATAAAATTGATGCTTTAAAATTGAGGATACACCCGTTAAACCATAAAATTGATGCTTTAAAATTGAGGATACACCCGTTAAACCATAAAATTGATGCTTTAAAATTGAGGATACACCCGTTAAACCATAAAATTGATGCTTTAAAATTGAGGATACACCCGTTAAACCATAAAATTGAGGATACACCCGTTAAACCATAAAATTGATGCTTTAAAATTGAGGATACACCCGTTAAACCATAAAATTGATGCTTTAAAATTGAAGATACACCCGTTAAACCATAAAATTGATGCTTTAAAATTGAGGATACACCCGTTAAACCATAAAATTGATGCTTTAAAATTGAGGATACACCCGTTAAACCATAAAATTGATGCTTTAAAATTGAGGATACACCCGTTAAACCATAAAATTGATGCTTTAAAATTGAGGATACACCCGTTAAACCATAAAATTGATGCTTTAAAATTGAGGATACACCCGTTAAACCATATAATTGATGCTTTGAAATTGAGGATACACCAGTTAAACCATAAAATTGATGCTTTAAAATTGAGGATACACCAGTTAAACCATAAAATTGAAGCTTTAAAATTGAGGATACACCCGTTAAATCATAAAATTGATGCTTTAAAATTGAGAATACACCCGTTAAACCAAAAAATTGATGCTTTAAAATTGAGGATACACCCGTTAAACCATAAAATTGATGCTTTAAAATTGAGGATACACCCGTTAAACCATAAAATTGATGCTTTAAAATTGAGGATACACCCGTTAAACCATAGAATTGATGCTTTAAAATTGAGAATACACCCGTTAAACCAAAAAATTGATGCTTTAAAATTGAGGATACACCCGTTAAACCATAAAATTGATGCTTTAAAATTGAGGATACACCCGTTAAACCATAAAATTGATGCTTTAAAATTGAGGATACACCCGTTAAACCATAAAATTGATGCTTTAAAATTGAGGATACACCCGTTAAACCATAAAATTGATGCTTTAAAATTGAGGATACACCCGTTAAACCATAAAATTGAGGATACACCCGTTAAACCATAAAATTGATGCTTTAAAATTGAGGATACACCCGTTAAACCATAAAATTGATGCTTTAAAATTGAGGATACACCCGTTAAACCATAAAATTGATGCTTTAAAATTGAGGATACACCCGTTAAACCATAAAATTGATGCTTTAAAATTGAGGATACACCCGTTAAACTATAAAATTGATGCTTTAAAATTGAGGATACACCCGTTAAACCATAAAATTGATGCTTTAAAATTGAGGATACACCCGTTAAACCATAAAATTGATGCTTTAAAATTGAGGATACACCCGTTAAACCATAAAATTGATGCTTTAAAATTGAGGATACACCAGTTAAACCATAAAATTGATGCTTTAAAATTGAGGATACACCCGTTAAATCATAAAATTTATGCTTTAAAATTGAGAATACACCCGTTAAACCAAAAAATTGATGCTTTAAAATTGAGGATACACCCGTTAAACCATAAAATTGATGCTTTAAAATTGAGGATACACCCATTAAACCATAAAATTGAAGCTTTAAAATTGAGGATACACCCGTTAAACCATAAAATTGATGCTTTAAAATTGAGGATACACCCGTTAAACCATAAAATTGATGCTTTAAAATTGAGGATACACCCGTTAAACCATAAAATTGAGGATACACCCGTTAAACCATAAAATTGATGCTTTAAAATTGAGGATACACCCGTTAAACCATAAAATTGATGCTTTAAAATTGAGGATACACCCGTTAAACCATAAAATTGATGCTTTAAAATTGAGGATACACCCGTTAAACCATAAAATTGATGCTTTAAAATTGACGATACACCCGTTAAACTATAAAATTGATGCTTTAAAATTGAGGATACACCCGTTAAACCATAAAATTGATGCTTTAAAATTGAGGATACACCCGTTAAACCATAAAATTGATGCTTTAAAATTGAGGATACACCCGTTAAACCATAAAATTGATGCTTTAAAATTGAGGATACACCCGTTAAATCATAAAATTGATGCTTTAAAATTGAGAATACACCCGTTAAACCAAAAAATTGATGCTTTAAAATTGAGGATACACCCGTTAAACCATAAAATTGATGCTTTAAAATTGAGGATACACCCGTTAAACCATAAAATTGATGCTTTAAAATTGAGGATACACCCGTTAAACCATAAAATTGATGCTTTAAAATTGAGGATACACCCGTTAAGCCATAAAATTGATGCTTTAAAATTGAGGATACACCCGTTAAACCATAAAATTGAGGATACACCCGTTAAACCATAAAATTGATGCTTTAAAATTGAGGATACACCCGTTAAACCATAAAATTGATGCTTTAAAATTGAGGATACACCCGTTAAAACATAAAATTGATGCTTTAAAATTGAGGATACACCAGTTAAACCATAAAATTGATGCTTTAAAATTGAGGATACACCCGTTAAATCATAAAATTGATGCTTTAAAATTGAGAATACACCCGTTAAACCAAAAAATTGATGCTTTAAAATTGAGAATACACCCGTTAAACCATAAAATTGATGCTTTAAAATTGAGGATACACCCGTTAAACCATAAAATTGATGCTTTAAAATTGAGGATACACCCGTTAAACCATAAAATTGATGCTTTAAAATTGAGGATACACCCGTTAAACCATAAAATTGATGCTTTAAAATTGAGGATACACCCATTAAACCATAAAATTGATGCTTTAAAATTGAGGATACACCCGTTAAACCATAAAATTGATGCTTTAAAATTGACGATACACCCGTTAAACTATAAAATTGATGCTTTAAAATTGAGGATACACCCGTTAAACCATAAAATTGATGCTTTAAAATTGAGGATACACCCGTTAAACCATAAAATTGAGGATACACCCGTTAAACCATAAAATTGATGCTTTAAAATTGAGGATACACCCGTTAAACCATAAAATTGATGCTTTAAAATTGAGTATACACCCGTTAAACCATAAATTGATGCTTTAAAATTGAGGATACACCAGTTAAACCATAAAATTGATGCTTTAAAATTGAGGATACACCCGTTAAATCATAAAATTGATGCTTTAAAATTGAGAATACACCCGTTAAACCAAAAAATTGATGCTTTAAAATTGAGGATACACCCGTTAAACCATAAAATTGATGCTTTAAAATTGAGGATACACCAATTAAACCATAAAATTGATGCTTTAAAATTGAGGATACACCCGTTAAATCATAAAATTGATGCTTTAAAATTGAGAATACACCCGTTAAACCAAAAAATTGATGCTTTAAAATTGAGGATACACCCGTTAAACCATAAAATTGAAGCTTTAAAATTGAGGATACACCCGTTA